ACATTTATTGTCTAGAGGGTCAGCTATCGCATCAGAGGAGCATCCGAAGGATGACCCAGCAAGAGGGTTAACTCCTTCACTCGCCAACCAGTCTTACAAAAGGGGACATCAAACCAGATGGAGGTTCGTACTCATCAAGCCAAATGAGGTTTCGTACTCATCACCACAAGGTCCAAGGAAACACCCTGTGGATAACTTTGAAGAAGTCATCAAGACATTCCTATTCATCGTCCAGAGGGTCAACTATCGTACCAAAGGAGCATCTGAAGGACGACCTGGCAAGAGGGTTAACTCATTCACCTGCCAACCGGTCTTATGGCACATTCGCCAACAACTGTTCGGTCAGGTGAAGGGGGGGGGGGCAGCTGTAGACCTAGTAGTGCTATCTAGGCTCCATTTAAGAAAAGGAGGGTTCCCTTAGAAAATAAAAAATAAAATTTTGTCAAAGAAGCCGGGAAGGTCGTGCCGAATCTGGGACGACCGTCCCACCTTCCTTGGTGGTCTAGGACGGTCGTCCCAAATTCAAGACGACCATCCCACCCCCTTAGCAAGTTTGGGACGACCATCTCAAAATCCCAATCGGTCGTCCCGCCTAACAAAATTCGGGACGACCGTCCTGGCCTCCTGGGTGAGCGATCCTATAAATAGGACTCTGATTCTCACTATTTCACACTCTCTCATACTTTGAGACATTTGTGGACATTTTTTGCACTGTTCCAGAGGTTGAGTAGTCTTTCTGATAGTCCATTTGGGAAAAATCAATTAAGAAAGTCTCCTTTTGAGACATCTGGCTCTCGACAGTTTAATAATTTTATTGTTCAAGAGAGGAGTGCTCTTGTTGTGGGAGGGGTCTGCCAAAAAGTGTCCTCAAGTTTCAAGATTTATTAAAAGCTCGCTTTGGAGGTTCTTTTCAATTCCTTCTCTTTTATCGCTTTCCTTTTATCACTTTCCTTTATGTGCATTAAAAATTAGGGCCATGTAGATATTTAAATAAATATTGCAAATAAATAAATAGGGTAAAAACATAATTTATATATATTTGTTTTGGAGTTAATTCATCATAGGGAACCCGAAAGGGGCGATATGGGGTGCTAACACCTTCTCCACGCATAACTAACTCCCTTACCCAACTCTGGTTATAACGGCCAAAATTGGTTTTCTTAAACTAACACCTTCTTTTTTATCCTTTTTTAATGTTTAAGGTTAAAACATTGGTGGCAACTCCATAGAACCCTTTCTTTTTACAAAAATCTCACATTTAAGGGTAGTTCGGTTATCGAGCATCTTAAAGGTGATGATCAAATTATTTTTACAAAAACGCGAGTAACAAACCATCGTGTCACGACCGCTCGCACCTTTAGTTCCCCCCTTAGCGGAGGGGATGGCGGTGACATGCCTCATGGATTATACACACCCTTCCCAATAGCTAGCACCCCTTAGGTTGATATTAGTATCGATTTTGTGCTTTGACTTCCAAGAACCCAAAGGGGATATGATTCTATCTTTTTGGTAGTGGACTGTTTTAGCAAGATGACTCACTTTATTCCCTGCCACAAAATAGATGATGCTAGCCATATCTCAAGACTATTTTTTAAAGAAGTTGTAAGATTGCATGGAATACCTAAGACAATAGTGTCCAACATGGATGTTAAATTCCTAAGTCATTTTTGGAAAACTCTTTGGGAAAGATTAGGAACTAAACTTCTATTTTCAACCACATGTCACCCCCAAACTGACGGACAAACTGAGGTTGTAAATAGGTCCATGTCCATATTGTTAAGGGTTATTTTAAAAGACAACAAGAAGTTTTGGGATGAACATCTTCCTGATATAGAGTTTGTCTATAATCGGGTAGTCCACAAAACTAACAATCTTTCTCCTTTTGAGGTTGCCTATGGCTTTAACCCTCTTACCCCTTTTGATTTACTACCGCTTCCGAATACTCATTACTATTTTCATAAAGAAGGAGTATCCTGAGCAGAGTTTGTTAAAAGGTACCATGAGAAGGTTAAAGAACATATTGAAAAATAAACTAAAAATATACTGAATATAACAACAAAGGGAGAAAGAAAATTTCTATTGAGGAAGGGGACTGAGTTTGGTTACACTTAAGAAAAGAAAGATTTCCTACTTAGAGAAAATCAAAACCCAGTCCCAGAGGAGATGGCCCATTCCAAATCCTCCAAAAGATTAATGACAATGCATTTAGATTAGACCTGCCATTCGAATATGGAGTCAGTCCTACATTTAACATATGCGATTTAGCACCTTTTGTAGGATTTGATAGTGAGGACATATCCTTTCGAAGAGGGAGGGTCTAATGGAGAACCCAAGGACATATTGGGCCTAAAGGATCACAAGGGCATATTGGGCTTATCAGTAGGGCCATGGCCCCAAGGATAGAGGAGAATGAGGCAGCACCACAAATACTCCTCCTATGGAGTTTAATTTGAACACCTCAAAATAAACTTGTATTGAATAAATCCTTATCTTCCTTTTGTAGGGTCCCAAAGATGAACACACAAGCCAAGACGCACACCAAGCCCATGGAGTGCACCAAACCAAGACCAACCAAGTCATAGGAGCACACCAAGGACACCACATGACCAAACTCTCCTCTTTGCCATCTTAGATGTCCCTCAAAGAAGCTTTGGAGTATATAAACACTTGAGAAATCCTTCTCTTGTTCGATGTGGAACTTAGAAGAAGAAAACAACATAAAAGAGAAGCTATCATGGTCCAAGAAGGTGCAGCCAAAAGTCACTCGGCCAAGCCACCATGGTGACCGCACCAAGCTCACGGTCAAGATCCATTCACACGGTCAAGGTTGCACCAACACAAGTGCTTATAACCCATTGTGTTCAATATGGTATATAAACTCTTAGGGAAGCATAGAAGAGAAGAATGTGGGACTTCTAGAGCCCATTTTTGATGCCTTACATAACAATAGAATAAGTCCCACATCTCTAAATACTTGAAGTGGATGAGAGGGGAAACACTATAAATATAACCCCTTGTGTAGCTTCTTTGGCACATTTGAATGTAATCCAAGCTTAGTTGTGGAACTTATTTTGCTTGTACCCCATTTTTGGCTTGACTTCAAGTGTCCCTTTGGAGATTTTCTTCTCCTTGTCTCCTAAACAAGGAACCTTCCTTGGAGGAGCTAGTGCCAAGTCTTCTTTTGAGACTTGAGGAACAATTTTCGATCACTTGAGAGCTTGAGGTGTGGACTTGGGCATCTCTTTGGTGGAAGGAGGAGATTATTTTCATCATGGTTGATCTTCATGTAATCGCACCACCCCTGAGTGTGAATACATAACCAGTAGTGGATTTTGTCTCATCTGAATCAGGGATGATCTAGTTAGCATCATTATACCCTTCTAGTATAGTGAGAAATCCACTATATTCAATGGCATAATCCATTCAAACTCTTGAGTTTTCATAAGCCTTGCAAGTGCATCCCAATGCTCTTGATTTCAGTGTACCTACTCAGTCTACCTACTAGATAAGCAATGTCAGGTCTAGAAAAGCTCATTAAATGCAATAAGCTCCCAATTGTCTAGGCATATTGATGTTGAGAGATTGAGTCTCCTTTTTTTTCTTTAATTTAAAGTTAGCATCATAAGGGTACTCACTAGTTTGAAGTAATAATACCCAAACTTCCTAAGAAGTTTCTCAATGTATTGTTCTTGGGATAGTATACTATCTCCTTTCCTTATGATTTTAACTCCCAAAATCACATTGGTTTCATCCATGTCTTTCATTTCAAATTTAGATCCTAGAGACTATGTCAATGCATATACCAAATATTAGCATGTCATCTACATATAAACGTATAATGACACATTCACCACTTTCAAATTTAGAGTACACACATTTATCAACATCATTAGTTGAAAAGTCACCACATAGTAGAACACTATCAAGTTTTTCATGCAATTGGTTTGGTGTTTGTTTTAATACATATAAAGATTTTAAAAGTTTACATGCTTTGTTCTCTTAACTAGAAACAACACACCCTTCAGGTTGAGTCATATAAATTTCTTTCTCTAATTCACCATCCAAAAATTTTCTTAATATCCATTTGGTGTATAACTAGCTTATGGATAGTTGCTAGAGCTAACAAAACTCGAATAGAGGAAATTCTAGTCACAGGGCAAAAGCATCAAAATAATCAATGTTGGATTTTGAGTAAAAACCTTTGCTAAGCTTGCCTTATACTTGTCTATCTATTTATGACTTTTACTGAGAGAAGGAAACAAGACAAATAGATAACCAAAAACAAAGTTCAAGAATGCAGAGATAACTTTATCTCACACAATATAACACTCAAATTTAGTTACAAACATGCACTCGCAGTTTTGGGATATTTTGAACATGAGACTCCAATGGATTTGTATAGCCTTTCTCTTACCAACCATACCTTCTCAATTAGAATTATTACAAAACAAAAGAAATCACTACAGACCTGAGGAAAGGATATAAGATGATGTACTCCACAAAATAAAATAAAAGTCAATATCAAATTTAGACCTATTTTTGCATATGAAATTAAAAAAAAAAAACACAATACTCATCTTAGTCAAAACATCACATACAACCCACACATAATCATAACCAGGATGGCAATACCCCAACAATGAGGTATGTTTTGCATGTAGGTTGGTAAATAGATTTTCAACATTGCATCATATACTTTCTTACACCTTTTGACCTTTCCACTAGATTGGGTAAATTTAAAAATTCATTATTAACAATGTGACATAAGTCCACCAAAATGCCCTATGCAGGAAAACGAAAAAATAGATGGAGTTCTCCATAGCAGATGCAACTTTATAAAGTAACCATGGTAAAAAAATATTGCCATGTACCCAAAGTTACTAAATTAAAAGTAAAGTATCAAATGGAAAGGAACATTAAAATAGAAACAAAAATTCACACAAGAGTTACCCAATCAACATGAGATTCAAAAGTAGCCAAACATACTCTGGTATATACACCTAGTAACCATCGCTTTATTATGTCATCATGACTCCTAGTAAAGAGATAATCAGACCTGTCAAATGTTACAGACATAAGAAAAGATAAACAATTTATGCCTGCACAATGCTTAGTGTCATTAGAATCATTCAATATGTAGATTAATCTCTTCTCCTTGCGAGGACGAGTTGAATTGTTTTCATTGCTTGTACTACCCCATGCAGTACATTGCAACAACATGATTGTAGACCCCAAATCTTGCCCGACCTTAAAATAAAGAGCAAATGACTTCCGTTCGAAGATGGGCAAAGCCTTAAAGGTCCCTAGGATTGATCAATAGGCTCCATACTAGAATAGGAAGACTTTTTGTACACAAAAAATAAAAAATTCCACCCAAAGGGTTGAGACCGCCGTCTCGCCATTTGCCAAAGGCGAGATGGCGGTCCCGAAAGTCGAGACGGCGGTCCCGACCATGTTAGGCGAGACGATAGTCCCGACCTGACAAGTGCGAATTTCTATAAAAGGGGGCGGGGCTTTCTCCTCGTTTTCTACAACTTCTCCAACTGAATATACCTCAAAATACTCTTCTAGAATCCCTTTGAAGCATTTCTAGAGTCTTAGAGTTCTTAGAAAGCATTCTAAAGTGCTTCGAGAGAAAAGTCAGCTGCATTGTAGAGTGTTGGGTTTGCCAAAAAGCGTCATTTTCAAGAGCATATTATAAAAAAGCTTGCTTCGAAGGTTCTTTCATATCCTTTACTCTATTTTATCACTTTTATTCATTACTATCTATGTGCATTAGTTATTAAGGGTCATGTAGTCGATAATTTAAATTTTGCAATGACTAAATAAGGGTAAAAACATAGTTTTAATGTTCTTATTTCTTTACAAAAATAATCCATCATAGGGAACCTGAAAGGGGCGTCGTGGGGAAGCTAATACCTTCCCCACACGTAACTAACTCCCTTACCTAACTCTGGTTGTAATGACCAAAGTTGGTTTTTCTTAAAAAACCATCGCCTTCTTTTCCTTTTCCAATGTTTTTGGTAAAAATATTGGTGGCGACTCCAGAACCCATTTATGAAAACCTCGCTTTTAGGTCCATCCCGGTTATCGGATAACCTAAAGGTGTTGAATCACACTTTAAAAAATGCGAGTCATCAAAACCATCGCGTCGCTCCAACCGCCTCTTTTGACGGCGGCAACAAATGGTGACTCCACTGGGGAAGCTAGAGAGTTGATCCCATTTAGTGATGGACTAGTTTAAGAAGTAAAAACTTGAAAATATGCTTTTACCCTTCCTTGCTTTATAACATGATTTATTGCTTGGCTTTAATAACTGTTGTATGTTTACTTTATGCAATTGTTTGAAATAACAAGTGTACACAAACCCTTGCACACAACAGTTCCCCCTATACCCGAGGGTAAGTGGGATATCCTTAGGGAGTGGGTGGCATTGTACGATTTGCTGTAGTGAGGGCCATGAGCCCACCAGTATGGTCAGAAACCACCACTCAAGGTGATAACCTTCCTCTTTTGGCCCAAAGACTGACAAGGCCCTAGTGTCATGCATGGTCTGAAGGTTGGGAGAGTGGGGACCCTATAATGGGGGCACCTTGGGGGCCTAGCCTTGGTGAGGATATTTAGAACTACATTGAATACACACTCTTCTGCAGGATACCCCTACCTCGTGCTAAAAACGTCGTCCCACTGTTCGCGGATGAGTGAATTGTGTGCGCATTTGTTTGTTTCATAGCATAATCATACAACAGAAAAATAAAAAAAATATCTCAAAAAATATTTTCACAATAAACACCCTTATCTCGAACAGTCTGCATTTTAGCTAGCCTGGTTTTAGGTTCTTTGTAAGCTAAGTAGTCATGCAGTCCGACAGAAGAGATAAGAGATGCTAAAACCATTCTTTTGTAATAAACCATTTTTATCTCGGACAGTGTGCATTTTAGCTATCCTGGTTTCAGGTTCTTTGTAAGCTAAGTAGTCACGCAGTCCAACAAAAGAGATAAAAGTTATAAAAATCAAATAAATCAAATAAAAAATGGGACCATGTTCATAAGCATCGAACTCATGAACATCCATATAGGTAGTTTCTCTTCCTTTTGAAAAAAAATACAAAAACCCAAACACTATCATGCATCACGTAGAAAATAAAACATGATAATGTTTAGGAAAAACAAATACTTACATGCATGCCTGCATCAACATCATACTCATAGCATGCATTTTTGTTTCTAGAAAAATAAAGGGGTCCAGTAGACAATTGAAGAAAGTGGACATTCCCCAATATCATGTAGAGAAGATAGAACGACTGTGTGCATTGATGCTACCCAAGGTCCGCTCCGACTTTGAAAAATCTTATGGACGGATTATCGATCTTTTGAAGATTTGTGTCGACCCCATCTTCATCAGGGTTTCGATCCATTTCTAGAACTCCAGTCTACACTGCTTCAAATTTCCGCAATTTGATCTGGTACCAACTTTGGAGGAATATGAAATAATGTTGTGATGGCCCAAATCAGCCAGGGTCCATATTTGTCATCAAACATATATTCCTGTAGCCAAAGTCGCCGCCATCATCCAATTGCCACTTCATCAGGCTTCCCTGATAGTAAAAGGGAATATCCAGGGTTGGAAAGTTGCAATGTTAGAAGACCATCTATCCTCTTTGGCTGATAAGGCAGATTGGTTTGCTTTTAACAAAACCCTGGCTCTGATTGTGTTTGGGACTATACTTTTTCCCTTTCACCTCGACATAGTAGATCAAGCCGTTATGGACGCCTTTTTCGCCTGCGACGTGCACTTGAAGAGTCCCTTGCCTGCACTTTTTGGCGACACATTTCTTTTGGTTCAGTTTTGTCACCAAAAGCACAAAAGAACACTCAGATGATGCTCTTCACTGCTATTCGTGTGGGGTATCACACATTTCTATGCCTTTAGCCACATGGGGATGTTCCCTGATCCTTTGAAAAACTTCTCAAAAATCCCTCTCCACCGACGTCTAACCATGGAGTGGAAGGTCTAATTGGAACAATGGAATGTCAACCGCTTATCCTGGGCATGTCCTTGGTTTTGACCTGGCCCTATCCTCATCAGATGTGGAGATTATCCGAGCATACCATTATTGGGTCTCAGAGGTCGCATAGCTTACTCCCCAAAAGTGGCTATGAGACAACTCATGAGAACCCAAACTGCACTGTCACGGGAAAATCTCGGAGGACTGTGTTTTTTCGGAGACCCATGCAATGTTGCAAACTCACTTGTTGTATGGAGAGCATGGGAGAAACCAGTCGTTATGGAAGATAGAGAGCTAGGCAAAGCTCGAGTGGTTGTTTCCAATGATTATGAGGAATGGAGGAGAAGCAGAGGGATGTCACAGCCATCCGCCCCACCTACTGCACCATCAGCCAGTGGAGAGCTCCAAACTCAAGTCGACGCCTTGACCCAAAGGATAGAAATCATGGGAGCCCAGATGAGGGCTCTTGAGGAGAAAGAACAAGAATTTATCCTTACCATTGACGGTCTACAAAGACAGTGCAAGAAGAAAGATCAAGAGACAGAGTGCCTCAAGGACCAATGTGTTGACTCCAGTGAGAAGGTTATCCGAGCATCCAAAGTTGTCAGAATAAACTCGGAAAATCAACTCCAAGAGATAACCGCCAAATCAGTACACCTTGAGGCTGAATGCGCAAAGCAGACACAGACGATCAAGGGGATTCTACAAGATCTTGCAAAGACTCGGTCTGAAATATGTCAAGGAAGGGAGACCACCCAGAGACTTACAAAAGCCTTACTGATCTACGCTGCAAAGAAAGAGACGGTTTAGCTTAGTACGGCCAGGTTCTGCAAGAGAGAGACCGAGCCATCGAGAGAATCAACAATTTACAAGTCTTGGTTGTCCATCAAGAGGCGAAAATAAAAGAGGCTCAAAAGTATAGTGAAGATATGATTCAGGCGATCCACCAGCAGTCTGAAGCACTCGCTCATCGCGTACAGGAAGCCGAAGAGGAATTGCGTATAAATCAAAACCCACCTGTGGGTTTCTTTAGGCTTTTCCTTTTCTGTCAAAATGTGCTTCGTAGCATAGTATAAGGGAATGTATACCTTCTCTAAATAAATAAAAATACCTTTTGTTTATTCAAACAACTGTCTACTTGCATTCATTTCATTCATAAATTGCATACTTGCATAACCCTCTTTCACTTTTAATAAATAAGATAATAAAAAGGAAAGATTAACTAATACGTCTTCCACAATCAGAGAGATAGAGAGAAAACTATACGTAATCAAGCTCTCCCCAATGGTCGATCCACTCCAAGAGGACAATAAGCCTCGGTCGTTGGTCATCAAAGTCAATAAAGAAGAGGGGGCAAGGACGCCTTTGCGATTATTTGTGCTTCGTCCTTTCCCCTATGATTCAAATAAAGTTGTACCGTGGAGATACGGGGAATCTTCACCCACCAATGAGAAAATCTCCAATATAGCCGGCATTGGGGGCATGACAAGAAGCGGAAAAATCTACTCCCCCAAGGAGTTGCAAGAAGATGCCCCCAAGATAAAGGAAAGAATAAACAGACTAAAGAAAAAGAAAATAGAGAATCCAAGGAGGAGACTGATGAGCTACTCCAGTTTATAAGGCAAAATGAGTATTCCATCATTGATCAATTCAATCACACACCCGCAAAGATAATTTTGTTATCACTAATGATGAGTTCGGAATTGCATCGAAACACCCTGATGAAGGTCTTGGGCGAAGCGCATGTACCTCATACAATATCCCAAGAAAAAGTTGAGAGGATCGTCAGCTACATCACAGCCAGCGATCACCTCACCTTCACAGATGAAGAACTCCCTCCTGAAGGGTCAAGCCATAACAAGCCCTTACATATCTCTATCAAATGCAAGGAGTATCTCATCGTCAAAGTTCTTGTGGATAACGGGTCATCCTTGAATGTGATGCCCAAGTGCACGCTTGACAAGTTGACCATTCAAGGAACCCGCATGCGCTCAAGAAGCACTATCATTCGAGCCTTCGATGGATCCAAACGAGAAGTGTAGACCCCTAATTTTGCCCGGTCTCTCAATAAAGGCTGAGAAAATCTCATATGACAAGACAAAGATCGCTCGGCCTCTCAATAATAAAGGCTAAAGAGAATTCCTACAACAAAGACAAAGCTCACCTGACATCTCTATAAAAGGCCAAGAAGACTTCCTATATAAAGATAAAGCTTTAACGGGCGTTTATCGGCATCAAA